CTCTTGGGCCCTAAACTCTGAACCCCAGGTCTGATAGTTTGCCCGTTTTGACCTCATTCGTGGCAGAAGGTTCCTCTTTGGATACATAGCTTTAGGATTTAGGGTTTAGGGTTTAGGGTTTAGGGTACTATAGGGGCCTAAATTATTACCCATACTATTTTGGGGGCTTCATTATTATAATTATAGTATAATGGGCCCCAAAACCCTACCCTAATTATTGAGGCCCCTATATTACTGGCATGCTGACATCCTGCTGAAGATAGGTAGCTTAAAAGGCTTAAAAGCTCCTTGCAGGGCCCATCTCGTACTGAATTTGCAGTTTTTTAATAGGAACGTAACAGAGATATTGATGTTTTGCTGGCCGTCTCGGTCCTTTGTGCTCAATCCATAGTTAAACCCTTGGCGCCAGAAACGAGAACCACAACGTGGAACACCTCAGCCACCCTAAACCCTAAATCCTAAACCCCTAAACCCTAAACCCCTAAACCCTAAACCCAAAACCCCTAAACCCTAAACCTTAGCCCTAAACTCGAAACCCTCAAACCTCACCCCAAACCCGACGCTTGCAGCCGAAGCACCTCTGGCTGCGGACAGTGATCCACACAGGCTTCCATAGACATAACAGGCCCGTCGGCCACTGACGAACTTTGGAAGCCGTGATGAAAAGCACAAGAAATCAGGGTCCCGAAAGCCTCAATGCAAGGCTTGAAAGGGTTTACTTGTTCAGGTGTATTGGGCTCTCTGGGTGGGGGTGGGAGTCTAACCCGAAACCCTGTGGGCTTTGAAGATCTGATCTTCACGCAGGGACTTAGCTTCTAGGCTATTCAGCGCTCCAGGGTTCAGGCCTTGGGCGTTAGGGCCTGCCACCCCAGACCCGCAGTGAAGCTTCCTGGACTGAAACCTGACCCAGAGAGCCCGATACCCCTTAATTAAGCAATATATCTTAAATGATAATTAAGCAATATATCTTAAATCATGATAATAAGCCCGTTTTAGTTTAAGGTTTTTTGCTTAAATGAAGGGGTATTGGGCTCTCTAGGGAGATCCAGGCATCGGCATCCTCATCTCGTCTTTACGACCCAGAAACCCTGGAAGCATCTGAAAACTAACGCAAGAAGCCCACTAACCACTTTGGTGGGTATGCAGTTCCTTGAGCCCTATTTAAGTCTTGTTGTGCCCAAAACCCAGGTTAAGGCATCAGGACGTTTACAAACGCGGTGTGGAGCAGGAGTCTTGGGTCTATAGTTTGTGCGTGTGTCTGTGTGTGTGTGTGTGTGTGTGTGTGTGTGTGTGGGGCGCCAGGGGGGGGGGGGGG